GCCCAGACATGGTGGGCACACCTTTAATCCCAGCAGAAGCAGAGGAGTTGGAGTCTGAGGCCAGCCTTGACTACATAGCAAGTCTAAGATAGCCAGAGTACATAGTGAGATCCTGACACAAACACCAAATATCACCTGACCAAAGTTCCTTCTAGATTGGGTTTATGGGTCAGTGTGTGGAGTTAAGCCCTGAAGCCTTGTGACCATGCGTACTGTCTGAGGGAGGCAGAGATGAATAGGGACAACCTGGAAGGGCCCTGCTAGGGAAGGAGACCGGCAGGAGATGGGGACATTCTATTATTGTTGACATTTTTTTAAGTGAGCATGTTTAAGGAATTTGCTTGTAAATTATCCACTGCTTTATTGTTTTGTATGTTTCCTTTAAATTTAGTGAACAAAAGGATAGTACCGTGACACATTCAAAGATAACTATATAGTTAAAATTAGTTTTGTCAGCGATACTGCTATTCATATGGGGTTTTTAAATGCTCTCACATAGCTATCGGGCTGAGTTCAGAAGACTCAGCCCTTGACATTTTTTCATTTTTTACTGTCTTTTAGACAGTTGAGCCACATGTGTTGAAATGAAACGATGGCCTTTCGTGGATGCTAAAGCTATCCTCCTCCCTCTGTTCCAGGTCTCTGGTAGAAGAGTTTAGGAAGACACTGTGTGCTTTATGGCAAGGCAGCCAGACTGCATTCAGTCCCGAGTCGTTGTTTTATGTTGTCTGGAAGATCATGCCTAACTTCAGGTAAGTATTGAAGGGCGCTTAGGACATCTGTGCTCTTCCTGCTCTTTCTTAGCTTCCTACAAGACTGATGTTACTACAGACGCTCTAAGCAGCACTTTATTAGATGAGCAGACAGCACTGAGTAAATACTGGTTTATTTAAAGACCCTTATAAGTAGCCCATGTGTGCTAGGAAAATGTAATGGATGACAAATGTTCCTTGATCCTTCTAAGTCTTTTTTTTTAAAGTTTTATTTTTATGTTCATTGTTTTGTCTGCATGTATGTCTGTGTGAGGGTGTCAGAAGCCCTGGAACTGGAGTTACAGACAGTTGTGAGCTGCCATGTGGGTGCTGGGAATTGAACCTGGGTCCTCTGGAAGAGCAGCCAGTGCTCTCACTGAGCCTGGTTCTTTCAAGTTCTACAGAGAAATAATTGTCATCATGTACTGTCTTCTTATCCCCACTGAAGACTGAAGTGAGGGCTGGGGCTCAGTCGTAGAGCACTAACCTGATGTGTGTGAGGAGGGGAGGCCACAGGTTCAGTCCGTAACGCTGCCGCCACACACAAAGGAAGGAAGGAAACCGTGGAAACCCACAGTGCAGGCACTGTGCTGGCCAGCTTCTAAAGCTCTGGGACAGTCACTCCAGGTTGACCAGGAGTCTCACTCAGGGAGATAGTAGGGCCAGTCCTGCTTAGTTACCTGCCCTTTCTCTCTGGTAGCTTGTCCTGCCTCTCGTGGTTACCTATCCCTGTGATAATTTGGGTCATTACAGATATATGGTATGCCAGTGTTTGCTACATTTGGCTGACTTTATTCTTTTATTGAAACATGTTATAGCTCTTAGAAGTCATGATTTGGCACCTTGAATATATCCTTTGTTTAAAAATCATATGTCGTAGTGAAACTTAACAATATATCTTGTACCTTTTAGTACAGAGAAATGTTTAAAAGGTAAAAGATCAAAGTCTTGTAATTTACTGCTTACCAAGTGAGTTGAGCCTCTGAGTGTCTGACTGAACTGCCATTAACCCTGGGTTTGTAAGTCTCATCTCAGAGACTCCTAAGAAACTTACAGTCACCTGAATCTAGGCAGGAAAAGCAGAAATGACAGCTCAGATGCCACTCATCAGTCTTTAAATTTACGTATCATTGTAGTTCCCATTTATTGAATGTGGCAAGCCCTAAGTGCTTTATCCTTATTAAAAACCAAGCAACAGCTGGGTGGTGGTGGCACACGCCTTTAATCCCAGCACTTGGGAGGCAGAGCCAGGTAGATGTGAGTTCAAGGCCAGCCTGGTCTACAGAGCGAGATCCAGGATAGGCACCAAGACTACAGAGAAACCCTGTCTCAAAAACCAAAAACAAACAAACAAACAAAAGAACCAAGCAACAAAGCATTTTGGCCAAGGCAGGACGTGTTACCGCTAAGTTTAGAGACGTCAAAACAGAGAAGCAGCTTGCTCAGTCTTACACATCTACCCAAAGTCTTTAGGAGTTGGTTCATAGCAGATGTGGCTTGAGTTTCCTTGGTCCTTCCATCTCAGATGTATTTGACACACCCATATTTCGATCCAGTGCAATCTGCTTTTCTCCAAATATCACCTCATCACTGTCCTTTCTGGTTTCTATAGTCCAGCTGTGAGCATGGTTTAGTTTAACTGCTGAGTTTACTGATTTTAGTATTTCTGCTGATAAATGAAAGAACTTCAGAAGAGATGATTAGGTTGAGAAATTTACTCAGTCTTTCAGGTGATTTCTGACACACATGAATTCTGATGTCTGTTAACTTACTGTTGGGTATCAGCTGGTCTTTCTTTTGGTCCTGCAGTGATTGTTCTCCATTTTTGTGTACTCAAAGAATTTCCCTTTGTTGAAGGACGAAGGTCTTGAGATTGTCACCACACAGCACCGAGTTACAAGCCCAGAGGTGGAACTTGCTTTGCTGTGAGTTCTGTGAGGACACTGATAGCAGGTTCACTGAGCTCTGTGGGTAGGACTTTCTTCTCAAGGCTCTTACAGATAGGTGTGGTTCTTGAACCATGGTCATGCAGAAGCACAGTGAGTCTTGAATTATACTTCCATTGTATTTACTTATAACCCTGACCATTTTCCTATTTGTAAATCCTGTTTTCCTTGATTAAGACAGGGCAAGGTCTGGAGAAACTGACTCCTGGAATGAACTTAGAGGGTTCTGAAAAACATGCATGTAGAAGTAGGAGCATCTTTTATTTACAAAGTGAGCATGGGCAAAAACCATGAATGCAGCCAGCCGCTTTTGTATACATGTCAAGGCTACTTTCCCCCACTGGAACCAAAAGCCAGTTACCTAGCAGGGAAAGTTAGTTCTTCACATTCTAGTGTGCATATCCACTTACTATATATACCCCTGGCTTCCTAGTATGCCCAGCCTTGTCCATCTTTTTTTTTTTTTAAATACATCCAGCCTTATTTTAGTAGGCCAAATATGCATGGTTCAAAATTTAAAAGATTAAGATTAAAATAGGCACTGAGTGTTTTCTTTCACTCAGTCCCTCACTGTCCTTCTGTTTTCTGGAAGCAACCAGTTACCTGATCTCCATGTGTGCTTTCAGTGGTAATCTTTGTACATGTTCAAGTGTATTTAATTTTAAAAATAAGTGGTTCTATGAATAGCCTCTTTACTGTAGCTTTGTAGATTTGTTTATAGGTATGTGCATGTGTGTTGCTGAGATGGACAGCCTGTGTATGTATATATGTATGGTTATTTGAATGCAGACTTGCTGGGTCAAAGTGTTTGTGCTCTTGTAATAGATGGTCTTTTATGGTAGTCTCTGGTACTCCTGCTTCCATCAACATGTGTTTGCCTTGTGGTCTGGCTGTCTGTTTGCCCTGTGGTCCCAAACTCTTTGTTTAGGATCTAGCATTATTCACCCATGGAAGCCTCTTTAGAAATTCAATCAGCTCATGTGGTACTCACTTGCATTTCATATTTACTTGCCATTTCTGCTTCCATGTACAACCTGATTGCCTCAACTTCCTAAAACATAACTTTTTTTTTTTTTAAAAATTCAGTTCTTATTATAATTCATGTAAGGCATGGGGGAATGATTTCACCTTATGTTAGTGGTTCTTGGCTTTCTAGACAACATAAAAGATCTTTTGAGATTTTCAATCTTTTGGGATATTTGTGAAAGAGGACTTTAAAATACTACGCTGTTCTTTATTTAAACAGCATTTGTTCTGGTAGGAGGTGTGCTGTTGCATGCTTCTGCATTGTTGGTAAACACATTCATTTCTGTCATTTTCAGGTTTTATATGACAGTGCCAAACACTGGGCAAAAAATAGCTCAATATATTTTAGTTTTGTAAGTGTTCTGGCCAAAAGAGTAACTTACAATGCTTTTATGAATGTTGACATATTTTAAATATGAATAGAACTTAAAATTCTACCAGGTATGCAAACAGCCTATTAATAAATCATTCAGTCAAGAGCCATTAATGAGATAGGTGTGATGACTCACATTTGCAGTCCTTGTTCTCAGGACTGAGTCACGTGGATTGCAGGGTTGAAGTGGGCTACACATACAATAAGACTTTGCTCCATCTTCCATTCCCAAAGAAAAAGAAAACTCTAATATGTTTTAGATATTTTAGAGGCTGTTTATCCTAGACTAATAGGCTTTATGGACGCATGTCTTACTCTTTTTTTCTTTGTTGTTTTTTGGGACAGGGTTTCTCTTGTGTAGCCCTGGTTGTCCTGGAACTCACTCTGTAGACCAGGCTGGCTTCAAACTCGGAGATCTGCCTGCTTCTGCCTCCTGAGTGCTGGGATTACAGGCGTGCATCACTACAACTGTGTTGTTGGGGGTTTTCACTCTTTTTCTCTTTGAGGAACCGCCACTCAGCTTCCAAATAAATCACACACAGAGGCTTATGCTTAATTATGAATGTCCGGCCTTAGCTTGCCATGTTTCTTGCCAGCTTTCCTTAAATTATCCCATCTACCTTTTGCTTCTGGGCTTTTCCCATTCTCTTACTTCTGTAAATCTTACTCTTATTCCGTGGCTGGCTGTGTAGCCGAGTGGCTGGCCCCTGGAGTCCTCCTCCTTCCTCTCTGGTTCTTTGATCTTTCTCGCCCAGATTTCTCCTTCTATCAATTCTTTCTGCCTGCCAGCCCCACCCATCCTTTCTTCTGCCTTGCCATTGGCCATTCAGTTCTTTATTAGACCAATCTGGTGTTTTAGACAAGCACAGTAACAAAGCCTCACAGAGTTAAACAAATGAAACATAAAAGAATGCAACACAACTTTACATCATTAAACAAATGTTCCACAGCATAAACAAATGTAACACATCTTAAAATAATACTCTACAGCATCGGTTTCCTCATCTAATGTGGCAGCTCTACTTCAGTGTAGTCTCCCGAGTAGCTGGGGAGAATACAGACCCCACTTGTGTATGATGATTTTAGACCATCAGATGTTTTAGACAAGCACAGTAACACAGCTTCACAGAGTTAAATAAATGCAACATAAACAAAAGTAACACACTTTAAAATAATATTCCCCAACACACCTGTTATCTTACTCCTGTTTTGACGTGTGGTATTAGGAATTGGACTTAGAGCCTTGCACATGGTAGGTAAGTGCTCTACAACTGAGCTATCCTCAGCCCTTTTTAATTTGAGACAAGGTCTCATTAGGTTGTCCATGCTGACCTAAACTTAGGATCCTCCTGCCTCAGTCTCCTGAGTATCTGGTGAGAATACAGACCCCACTTGTGTAAAGTTATTTTTTTTGTTTGTTTGTTTTTTTTCTGTTGAGATGAGGTCATTACTTGGTTGTCTAGGCTGGTCTGGACTTGGTGATCCTCCTGCCTCAGGATTACAGGCGTCCTCTGCCACATCAAACCTAGCTGCTCTTGGCTCTTAGCCATCTTGTAGATTATTCTGTTTTTAGGCAGGACCAATACATAATAACACACATTATTCAGTGTGTTGCTTTCCAACCTGACCAGGTGCTTCATTGGTGACAGTTTGTCTGGTTATTCTTTATCAAAATAGTCATTTGTCTTCAAAATGTGTGTCTTAATATGCCACAAGTTGTTATGAAGAGACCGACCCTTACCCCTTGTCCCCTCTACTGTGTTCCATCAGTGTATCCTTTCTTGGCCTTCCATTTGGAAAGGACACTTCCAGGTCTGTTAGGCATCTTGTATTGGCAGTGTGATTTCTCATATCACTTTGAGAGATTGTCTGCCAGTCTTTTTGTAGGCATCAAAGAAGAGGATAATCTTAGGTCTAACAATTTGATTGTAAAGAACCCCATTAATATCGAAATCTTTGTTATTTCCTTTAGTCTTTTCTCTTCATTCTGGTGTGTCATGGAGACTGCATTTGGGTCTTCATAACCCATTTCTTCATTTGTTCACAAGCAGTTACTGGTGACACCTGAAACATACAATGTGCATGTCATTTATCCCAATTACAAAGCAAGAGAAATGTAAGGTAGCTAAAGAGGATTCTAAACCTGGATTATGTAACTGGGAGACAACTGAAAAAATAAGATACTAAATAATACTTAGACTCATTGACTAATCTGAAAGTCTTTAAAATAAAATCAATCAATTATATAGTGCTGGAAAGATGGCTCATTGGTTAAGAACACCTGTTCTTGATTTGATTCCCAACACCTGCATGGTGCTCCAGGGGATCCATCAACTACTTCTGGCTTCCATGGGCACCAGATGTGCATGTGACTTGATATACACAAAATAAAATAAATCACTTACTTTTACTTCTCTGAGATAGGGTCTCTGTGTAGCCTGGCTATCCTGGAACTCACTGTGTAGACCAGGCTGGCCTCAAACTCAGGGATCCACCTGCTTCTGCCTCCTGAGTGATGGGATTAAAGGTATGCGCCACCACTGCCCAGTCACCTACCTACCTACCTACCTTCCTTCCTTCCTTCCTTCCTTTCCTTCCTTCCTTCCTTCCTTCCTTCCTTCCTTCCTTCCTTCCTTCCTTCCTTCCTTCC